TGACGGGTGGTACACGACGTTTTGTGCTTAGGGCGCACGTAAAAATGGAGTTAAGAGGTTGAATGCTATACCGGAGGTGAGAAATATCTAAAACAAACACGCTGTAGTATTTGTATATCGCCCTCATGCCTACCACGAGAACTAAGTGACATTTTTAATTGCTTACCAGAAAGCAGGGAGCCTGCAGAAGTCGGTATAAAGTTATTTTTGGACTTTTATTTTGTTTGAAATAAAATAATCGGTCAACCCGGACTTTTATTTTTTTAGTCCAGGAATAACAGTTAAAGTTGGACAAATATTTTTTAAGGTTGTAATAAAGTTCCTTTCCTAATAATAAATAAACCGGTTATCGAAATTTAAGAAATTTGTTATCAAATGAAAGAGGACTAAAATAGCTTTCAAAGTGAAATATTTAAACGAGGAATGTCACCTATTGAAAAATATTTCAATTAAAAATGTTATTTAATTACCATGGGACAATCCTTGGACTTTGTATGTAAATGAATTTATTCTGTATTAAATTATAAAAAAATATATTAATAGATAGTAACCTTTGCTTAGCTATTCCTGTTTCAATGCTATTTCATTCCTCTTTCATTTGGTACTAATTTTTTTTTTATTTGGATAAGCGGTTGGTTTATTATTAGGAAAGGACTTTTATTTCGGCCTTAAAAAATATTTGGCCAGGCTTAGCTGTTATTACTGGACTAAAAAAATAAATGTCCGGATTTTTCAGTTATTAATGGAGTTTTTCCCAAAAAGTTCGAAAAATAAAAAAAATCGGAGATTCTTGTCCCGGGATCAAAGGAACATTAATAACTTTCTCCTACGACAATATTTTGACCCGTACTTTTATTACATAAAAAAACTGTTATTCTCAAAATGAAAATAAGTAAAGCTTTCTATGGCTTCTAAAACAGTGTGCAAATCTCGTAATTTATTTTAATATCGCTTAAAAAAGTTTAGGTTTTATCAATCAGTAAACTAAAGAAACGCCTACATATTTAAAAGTTTATAGAAATATATCGTGCCCTAACCTCCAAAAAATAGTAAGCGACATTTTTTTCAAAATTTGCTTTTTGATGCAGAAATGCTCCTAGACCATCGATTTGCATTTGTACAGCAAAAAGAAAATTTTGAAAAAAGTTCGCTTACACTTCCTACGCGGTTAAAGCTCAATATGTATGTACATACATATCGTTACCTTAATTCACAAATGCCCTGACCAACACTTTTTTCGAAACTGCGTTTTTTACAGATTATGGTAGGATATATTAAAATACATCTCCACTAAAAATTTGAAAGTGTTAGTAACAAAAACAACGAAATTACATACCACTTTTTAAAAAACCCTAATGTTTTTATAAAGTTTTTGCTTCGCTTTGGTTGGTTAGAGCCTTTGTGAATTAAGGTAACGATGTGTATATTAAGGCAAAGCATCGAAAAAAAGTCACTTTAGTCCTCTTTGATAAGGATGAGCTCGATATACACAAAAATATCTGTGCACTACTAAAAAGCATTCTAAAAACTTGGCTTTCTAAAACTAAAAACATACATTTTTCGGAGTGTTTTTAAAATTCTATACTAAAACTGATGATGTACAAACATTTCAAAACGTCTACAAATATAAATAAATTGCATCCCATCGCTTTTATGTTTCATGTCGCCACACTAAAATTGCATTTTTGCACTTCATCCATGCCTCATGACATAAACATAACTGTACATATCCAAAAGCATTACATAAATGTTCATAACTTTTCAGTTGACTCCAGTTTTTAATTATCTGTAAAATCCGTTTAATAGGCCTGTAAATTTTATAATATTGATTGAATTTTTATTTGTGGAAATAGCATTAAATATGTATACAAATTTACCTCAATCTTATAACATTATTGGCTGCTTTATGTAAAATGTGCATACAGAATTGGAACTATATTAATTTAATAATCATTTATATGAGCAAATTTCATATAAATACATATTTCACTATGCATCAAACCTCGTTAGGCTGGATTGAGAAGAAAATATGGTTATTCACAGCTGCCTGGTTATCCGGATATCTGGTATACGATTACATATATTTTTTTAATATGTTTGCAACAATAAAATAAGCCAAGGAATAATAATCCATAACCAGGAAGGTGCGAATACCTACTATATTATTCTGATTATATATATATATATATATTTTTTTTCATTTTTTAAACGTTTCATAAATTTTAGGCAAAGTTTTTTTAAACAGATTCCGACTTTATAGATTATATAACATAACTATAATAACATTATAGAATTTTCTTTTTCAACTTTCTGTAAACTACGTCTACAGAGCAGAGGTTCAAATATTGAACCGAGTTTGGTAGAAATCAATAAAGCAAATACACTCACGCAGTTATGTATGAGTCGGCTGACCCACTTGTATTTGCCAAAAATCTATAACAATCGTATATCTTGTTAACTGCATGTTATAAGTATTAACTTGGAGTAAATTAGCAAGTTTAATTAAAGAAATATCGAATTTTTCGTATTTTTCTAAATTAGTAAAACCGTGCCAGAGATAAGCATATTTAATCATAAGTGGTCGGGGCTACGTCCGTTTTTTTTTTCTAATTTTGCTCATCGTTTTTTCTGCATTGTAAATATGTTTAGTGAATTGACTTTACTAGCTACTAAAATATCGCAGTTTTAGTATTTCCGCCAATTGCCGTTATAAGGGAGGTAGGCGTGGTTATTGTCCGATTTTGCCCATTTTCAATACCATCTGTCCTTAG